AATAGCCAGAACCTGGAAACAACCTAGATGTCCTTCAATGGAAGAATGGATGAAGAAAGTGTGGAATATATACACATTAGAATACTACTCAGCGGTAAAAAAACAATGACTTCTCGAATTTTGCATGCAAATGGATGGAAATAGAACACACTATCCTGAGTGAGGTAACCCAGACCCCAAAAAAAAACAAAGGCATTTTAAATGGACGATAAATACTCTCACTTCTTTTTCAGGAAGTCTGTCGAAAGAAAGAACACAGACGTTACACCAATTTGTACTACTTTTTGCTGTGTTTGATGAAGGTTAGTGAGCTTCAGTCAGATATTTGAATTCCTAAAAGAAGTCAAATATGTAACCAGTACATTTATCCTATGTTGGAGAATGTGGGCTGCATATGTTCAGAAAAGATATTGATTATAGGAAGACCACAAAGTGTATTACTGTTCAGGAGTGTAGGAAATGGGGGAACAGGAATGACTCTAAGACAAAAATGCAACCTAAGTTCAAATTGCATCTATGAAGTAAAACATAGAGCAGCCTGGGTTTAGGTAATAAATACTTTTGTCTTTACTTCTTAAATATCTTCTGAAGCATTAATCTAATTAATCTTATTAATAAAAAAATCAGGAGTCAAATATTGGGGTAAGAACCTGAAAGATCAGAGAACAGGGAGCAACCACCGTTGCTTACTGTTGTAATGAGAGCCGCTTGTTTGTTCCCGAATGCTCAGCCCTGAAATAATCACACAGAAACTATATTATTTAAAACACTGCTTGGCCAATGACTCTAGCGTATTTCTGGCTAACTTATATCTTAAACTAACCCATCTCCATTAATCTGTGTATTGCCATGTGGCTATGACTTACCAGGCAAGGTTCCATCTGCTGTCTGTCTCCAGCAGGGCTACATGGCTTCTCTCTGACTCTGCCCTTCTTTCTCCCAGCATTCAGTTTAGTGTTTCCCACCTAGCTAAGTTCTGCACTGCCATAGGTCCAAAGCAGTTCCTTTATTCATTAATGGTAATCACAGCCCACATCAGCTTCCTACCTTTTCTGTAATTCCATCCAAAAAAGGGCTGAGATCCTCTTTCAGCCCACGGTATTACTTCCTATCTCCTCTCTATCTACAGTTATCCAAACCTCTGTGGTCAGTTAGTAGTGTGCTCCACCCTCTGACTCCAAGTAAGCTTTATTTGTCAGAATACAATCAAAACATCACACAACATTGTATTGTTACTGTAATTCATATTTAATAACTGTTTTGTTGTATGTAGTTTTATTATATTAAGGTTAAAACTTCCCTTTTTAATTAGACAAAAAGCAGGAAATGCCATGGTACAATCTTCTTCTACACTATGAATATGTATTACTCTCAATGTTTAATAAAAGCTGACAGACCAGTAGCTGGGCAGGAAGTTAGGTAGGAAAGCAAAACTGAGAATGATGAGAAGAAGGAGAGCAGAGTCGGGGGAGATTCTAGCCAGCTGCCCAGCAAGCAACACATGATAGAGACCAGGTAAAGCTATGTTGGCAATACATAGATTAATAGAAATGAGTTAATTTAAATGTAAAAGTTAGCTAGTAACAAACCTGAGCTATCAGTCAAGCATTTACAGTTCATATTCAAACTCTGTATCGGTTATTTGGGATCAGGCATTCAGGACAGAAAATATCCATTTACAATCTTCATTTAAAATCTTCTGTTACATTTTAATTATTTATTTGTATGACTTTGGGGAGAGGGTGTCCATGCTGTGGTGCTTGAATGCAAGTCAAAGGATTACTTGTGGAAATCAGTTTTCTCAGTCTACTATGTGGGTTCCCATCAGGTCACCAGGCTTAGAGGCGGGTACGTTTATCCACTGAGAATTCTTGCTAGCCCCTATCTTCTTTTGATAATTATCTATTGCTAAGTGCACAACACTGGGCAAATTACTTACCTCTCTCTCTCTGCCTTATTTTCCTCACATCTAAAATTGAAATAATAGTATTTTTCATAGAATTGTTGTAAGAATTAATCGATTTCACTTAAGTAATGTAGAACACTGTGTGGCAGAATAGGTATATAACCCTCTTATCCACTTGCACTGTAGGGCATGTCATCTTTGTCCTAACTAGTCTCTCTTTTTTGATTTTCACATTTTATTTTTAATAAAACAGCCCAAGTAATTTTCAGTGCTTCAACTTTTGCTAGTTTTGGAGAGGAGGTTGAGAAGCCTTCAAGTTACTAGGGTTTCCTTGCTACGAAATGGAACGAAGCAATTTATGATAGAGCAAGGAGTGACAACCCTTTTAAATCTATCATCTAACTTGCAAAATGAAATTCTTGTGGTTCAAACTAACCAATATTATTCCTTCTCCTAGTTATCACTTGCCATTAGTCTCCCCACTATCATAATGAAAAAATATAGGGAAAGGTAATTGGTTTGAAAAAATGTAATTTCCTTCTCAGTGACTCTGAGTTTGTGTGTACTCTGCTGACAAAAATTCAGAGTGTGAATTGTCTTTGTAACAAAGGAGGAAAAGAAAGAAGGTAAGGGGGTCTGTAATTCTTGAAATAGAGTTCAGCTGACCTTATTTCCTACCCCCCTCTCACCAGAAAAGAGCTGGCATTCAGAAACAAAGGACTCCTTCACACAGCCTATGGATTCCACATCTACTGGAGCCTGGCCTAAATTGCACACAGTCAATGGATATATAAATAGGTCTCTGCCAGGTATGTACATGACTGTTCAACAATCCTCAGGGTTTTGAGAATTCAAAACCATAACTCTTTTATACAGCTTTCAGAGAGTTTTGCATCCAAGTAAAAAACCCACTAAATTCTAGACTCTTTTTTTGTTGTTTCTTTGTTTAAATATAGCAGCTGATTCCTCCTTATGTCACCCCAAAATTAGGGCCCTTTCCTTTTGCTTAGAGGACTTTCAGAATGAACAAACATTTAAGAGGAACTGGAAATATGAAAACAATATCGAAAGATAATAAAAAATAATCCCAAAGGAGAAAAAACCAATTAGAACAAATAGATGTTCACAAAATTAGCAATATGATTGTCAAAATACAAATAACGACAAGTAGATAGGGAAAATCTCCAATAAAATAAAATCAAAAGAGTTTAAAAGATTGAAAATACACTTTAAAATACACAATAAAACAGAAATATTAAGAAATAAAAGATATGAGTATTCAGAAATAAAATCACTATTAGTATGAACAAAACTCCACACAAAATGATCATTGTGGCAATTCATAGTGCATAGATGCTTAAAGCTTTTCCTGGAAGAAATTGTTCATATATGAAGGAAGAGGAATTAGACTGACAATATATTAGAGCAGTATCTTTAAAAAGAGATCTAAGGGAAAGATTATTTTCAAGCTAGAATTAAGATGATGAATCAGCTTTGGTAAATAATAGAAAATGTTATCCAACCATGGTAGGCCTTAGCAACCACTGAATATGTACTACAGCAAAACTAAAGAGTAAATTAAAGAAACACGTTCATTTTATGTAGCAGTATGACAGTCACTCATGGCTTTGGCAAAAGCTGTTGGTTTGATAGTGTCATAACTAACTTTCTTGGTAACTTTGTTAATGTAGCAGTAAAATTTGTAGGGTCATTTTGCCCGTCCTATTCTAACAAGTACTTTCAGTTTCAAGTTCCTTATTTCTTTGCCACAGCTGCCTAATTTCCATTTTACAGGTCTGATTGGATGCCATAAGAAATCAGTCTACTGGCACGTGATTGGAATGGGCACCACCCCTGAAGTGCACTCCATATTCCTCGAAGGTCACACGTTTCTCGTGAGGAATCACCGTCAGGCTTCCTTGGAAATATCACCAATCACTTTTCTTACTGCTCAAACACTCTTGATAGATCTTGGAGAGTTCCTGCTATTTTGTCATATCTCTTCTCATAAACATGGTACTACTATTTTGGATCTTAAAAAACAAGTATTATAAAATATTCTGTTTTAATCTTAATGAAATTTCCTGGGCAGTGTACAGTGCAGAAATACCATTATAGAGTTAGGATTATGTTAGACTTTAACTGAAATCTTCTAGTGTAAAGATTTTTATCTTGAGTATATAAGGACTTTACTGTTAGTATTGTGTAGTTAAATATCTGCAACAGAAGGAAGAGACATAGTTTAGGAATGAATGAGATAGGAAAATGAAGGTTTCTCAGCCTGACCCCATTAACTAGGATTCAGTACTATGGGAAGAGATTTAGAAATGTTTCCATGAGAAATATAGGGAAATGGGGTATCACATGAAGTTTTCAAGGACTGTTTGATGGAGGTTTTGCAAAGGCACAAAGATCCTGTATAAACAAATGTGCCTACAGTATCAATTCCTGGTCATATGATGTTGTAGGTAGTTGTGCAGATTCACATCAAATAATTCTTTTGCTTCCATTTTCTTCTTGTGTATTATTAACTTTGTTCATTTTTTGGTCTTGGATCAACCTAGTAACTCTTTCTTAGTTATGTCCATTTAAGGCTTAGTCTGTTATATTGCCAGAACAGAATATCAGAAATCGAGTAATTCGTAATAAAGTTATTGTCTCACTCAGTTCAAGAGGCCAGAAAGTCAAATATCAAGATACTGTCATTTAATGGGGGTTTTCTTTCTGTGTTATAGTACAGGAAAATGATACATATGGAAGAGGGGTAAAAGAGAAAAAAAAGATATAGGGAGGAAGGAGAGAAGCAATGTCCTGAATTGTTTGGGTTGTCTGACTGCAGATGGCATGGAAGCTTATGTCAAAGTAGATAGCTGCCCTGAGGAACCCCAATGGCAAAAGAAAAATAATAAAGAAATTGAAGATTATGATGATGATCTTGAGTCAGAAATGGAGATGTTCATATTGGATGATGACAACTCTCCTTTTATCCAAATTCGCTCGGTTGCCAAGAAGTACCCTAAAACTTGGATACATTATATTTCTGCTGAGGAGGAAGACTGGGACTATGCTCCTTCACTTCTCACCTCAGATGATGGGTAAGCACCTTTGGATTCTTGTTACTACCCTCCCTTATACTCAAATTCTTCATACTTATTCAAACCAATGAATCCTTAAGCCATATTTAAGAGTTAGTATGTCATGGGATCAAATGGTAAGGATGTTTTGCTAACCACCATTTCATCACTGTGGCAAAATACTGAAATTACCAACTTTTAAGTGGGAAAAGTTTGTTTTGACTCATAGATTTGACTTATAGAATTTTGTTTTGGGCTTGTGACAGCACAGAAATTAACAATAAAGTGCACAGTGGACCTTTCCTGTTCCATACACAGCTGTCAAAAACCAAAGAGTAGATAAAGGGGGCCTGAGGTTCCAATATCATCCATTCAAGGGCATACCCCCAATGACTAAGTTCTCACTAGGCTCCAACTACTAAAGGTTCTATCACCTCCTACTAGCTTCATATCCTGTTGTCTAAGCCTTTAATACATGCGCCTTCTGTGAAGATTCATAGAACATTAGGTATTAGCATAGGTAAGCCTAAGACTATTTGTAATTCTCTCGCTCTTTGCTTTGAGTAAATCATATTAGAATTGGATTTTTGGCTATCTAATATTTTTTGTCCTTACCCCTCACCTTTTGCCTCTTGTACAGAAGTTATAAAAGCCAGTATCTGAGCAGTGGTCCTCATCGGATTGGTAGGAAATACAAAAAAGTCAGATTTATAGCGTACACAGATGAAACCTTTAAGACTCGTGAAACTATCCAGCAAGAATCAGGAATCTTGGGACCTTTGCTTTATGGGGAAGTTGGAGACACTTTGTTGGTAAGTCAAGGGAAAATATGAGATTGCTTCAGGAAAAAAGAGAAGTCTCAACGTGTTAATTTCAGTGGTTAAGAACACTTGTTATTCTTGCAGAGGAACTGGGTTGGACTCTCAGCACTCATGTGGAAACTCACAACAATCTGTAACTCTAGTTTGAGAGAATCCAAAGCTCTTTGCTGACCTCCATAGGTACTGGGCATAATATCATACACCTACACACATACAGGCAAAAAACTCATATACATAAATAAAATCTTTTTTTTTTAAAAAAAAGAAAAGTCTAGGAGGATTTAAGTTTCTGTGATTCTTCAAAATTCAGTCTTATCTTCTTTTTTGCATGTTAATATAAATGTATTTCATTTTTATTAGATTTTAAAAAAATACCAATCCAAATTCCCACTCTCCCCTCCTCCCAATTCCTCCACACCCCCTCCCATCCCACTCCCCTCCAATCCTAAGGAAGGTAAGACACTTTGCTTTGTGGAAGGTCCAAGGCCCTCCCTACTACATCTAGGCTAAGCAAGGTATACATCCAAAGAGAATAGGTTTTCAAAAACCCAGTACATGCAGTAGAGATAAATCCTAGTGCCACTGCCAATGGCCTCTCAGTCTGCCCCAGCCATACAGCTGTCAACCACATTCAGAGGAACTAGATTGGTCCTATGCTTGTCCATTTCCAGTCCTGGACAGAATATTTTAAAAAATTATGAATGTTGCACAAACAAAATATACTCATATATAGTAAGTATATGGAATAAAATATAATGTGACCAATCACACTCTCAACTTCTTTTAACTACTTACTATTTAGACTGATACATACAGTGTCACCTGCCACCATTGCTTGAGGCTATTTATTGTCCTCCTTGTTATACCTGCTTATTAAGTGATAAATCTTATAACCTGGACCACTGTCTCCTTCTCCAGTGTTAAGGAAATAAGTGCCAAGAATTCAGAAAGTCTGAGGAAAAGTAATGTCCTTAGAAGACACCAAATTTCACTTCATGTGGGAGATTCAATTACTGAAGTCATTGAAATTAAAAAGGGTCATGACAAAACTACTTAGCTACCTAAGCTTCTTTTTCATGAAAGAAATGAATATATTGAATTTTATTAAGGGCTCAGACTTCTGTAATATAAATATAAGAAGCTTTTGATTTTCCAGAACTAGGCCACAGTTTTCCTGTTGATCCTAGTCATTTTAGGACTTGATCTCATATCTCACCTATACTTTCAGATTATATTTAAGAATCAAGCAAGCAGACCATATAACATTTACCCTCAAGGGATCACTGATGTCAGCCCTCTACACTCAAGGAGATTGCCAAGAGGTAAGTAGTATCTCAGTTTATAAGTCTTTTTTGATGTAGATACACTTGAGGTACAACTTCAGCTGTTGACACACAATCTTTACAATAATTTTATATAAGTCTTCTTTGTTTTCTCTAAACAATTATTCTAAAGATAATAAATACAAAAATAGTACTTGTATCATTTTAATAATGCAAGGTCATTTTATCGATATATTTGCCATAGAACTAAGTGATATGCTATGGTTATTTTCTTATCCACATCCCTAATCATTTTATTATTAAAATAAAGTAGATTCTTCTTCTATATGTAAGAATATGCAAATATTATTATTTCTATTTTTTGTACTAAGAGGTAAACTTATTCAAATTTACATGTTAAAAAAGCATGACATAGGCAAGGGAGAGATGCCTGCCCCCCAACCACCCAAACCCCACCCCTACTCTACCCACCTTCCTCTTGAGGTCTGTGACTGGTGAGAGAGCAGGCCAGAGGTCATGAGAGCAGGAGATCTAGTCCTGCCCCTCACCAGCTGCAGCACTTGGGAGTGGCCCCTGAACCTCAACTGGGCAACACAGTAGAGCTGGCCCTCGTGGTATAGGTGTGGGTGAACCAGTGCTGAGGGTGTCAGAGCTGGAGAACCTGTCCTGTCCCTTGCTGACTGTTGCATGTGGTGAACTAACTAGGGCAGTGCTGGAGAGCTCACCCCGGTGGTGAGAATGGGGGAAAACTGGCAAGCTGACCAACCCTGCAACCACCCAGGCCCAAAACCAGGGCTATGAGTTCGTCCATCCCAACATCCACCCCATCTATGATCTTCTGGAGACCCAATGCTGCAGGATCTCCATGACACAGGGCAACAACCGGATATCCAAGAGGAGTCCCCGTGAGGGCCCAGTATTGATAGTGTTGTAGAAACCAGAGACCTTGAACCAGACCAATAACTCATTGCAGTGAATACTTGCAAGCAAAGATGTATGGACTAAAGGGTATAATGTGTCACATTACAGCTTCCATGACAAGATTTTCCTTTTTTTCTTTTCTTTTACTTTATATTAGTTTGAGAGGGAGGTTGCAAGGGCAGAGGGTGGATACAAAGTGATGGGAAGATGAATGGGATCAAGATGCATGATATAAAAACCACAAAGAACCAATAAAATGGTTTTATGGATTAGTAGTTCCCTTGAAACAAAAACATGATTATTGTTAAAAGGGAAACTTTAGTTACACTGAACTTGATAGACTTTATTTGAGAAAAGTAATAATTCTTGAATTTTGGACTACAAATGTTTTAGAATGTTCCACCTCACCACACTTACACAGAGACTGTATTTACAGACAGAACAGAAAATGACATAAAAATAACCTGATTAAATGTAACTAGCAGTTGCCTTATATGATGGTTTCACAGCTTCAGCCTTAAAGGGCCTGGAGGTTCAACTGTTATGATTTGCTAAGACTCAGCTACGTGTTACATGAGTATACTTCCAAGTTAGGTTAAAATTGTTTATATACCAATTTGGGTTGCATTTTCTATGCATAGGAACCTTTAAAACAAAGTTGAAACATGTATAGAAACAGATTTAGGCCAAATTTAATACAACATTGCTAAATATGTAGCTCATTATACTCAATTGATCTATTTCTGCTTTGGTTGTGGGTAGGCATAAAGCATGTGAAAGATTTTCCAATTCGTCCAGGAGAAATATTTAAGTATAAATGGACAGTTACTGTAGAAGATGGACCAACTAAATCAGATCCACGGTGCCTGACCCGCTATTATTCAAGTTTCATTAACCCTGAGAGAGATCTAGCTTCAGGACTCATTGGCCCTCTTCTCATCTGCTACAAAGAATCTGTAGATCAAAGAGGAAACCAGGTGAGATCTTTACCAAGTATTAAGTTTGAAACTAAAAGTGGAATAAAATGCCTATGAACTTATAGATATTTCTTATACTCTTTTAATATAGGTACCTCTATAACCTGTAGAAAATATAATCCAATAAAAGTGATTAAACTGAGTTCTACTTAGTTTTTATTAAATTTGAGTTTTCTAAGAAACTTGCCTCTGGATAAACAGAAAAGCCTGGACCATAGATTCTTTCTATAATACTCAGTCCCAATCTGGGGTTTTGCTTTCCTCCAAGGTTCTTGCCCATTTTTACCTGTCCAATTGCCACCTACATTTAAATGACTAATTTTATTTGAGACAGAGTTCCAGGTGTCCCAGGCTGGCCTCGAACTCCTTACATAGTTGAATATGGTCGTTGACTTCTGGTCCTCCTACATATGCATTGTGAATAATGGGATTTATAGGTATGTGTCAGTTTATGCCCAGTTTATGCAGTACTGTATTTCAGACCTATGACTTTGCATATGCTAAGCAAACTGAAATACATCTACTAACTAAAATACTTCCCAGAACAATATAATTTTTTAAACCTACAAATTTATATCTACAGCCTATGTTTTTTTCCTGGAAATCTCATTATGAATTAATCAAAAACACCTTAAAATTAGCCTTGTAGGTAATACATGCCTCCAGTCTCAGTACAGGGAGACTGAGTTAGGTGAATTTTGAGTTTAAGGCCAGCTTGGAATACATAGGAAGTTCTAGGCCAGCTTCTCCCATGAGGAAAAACTCTGTGAGAAAACAAAAGCAATGCATATGTAGCATCTACAACACTATGTGACATTTAGTAACGGGCCAATATTTGTTGAGGAAAATATAAAATTATTTTGATTATGGTTAGATTTAGACTATTTCTGCTACTTTAGAAAATTATCTGAGCTGGGAAGTGGTGGCACACACCTTTAATCCCAATACTTAGGAGGTGGATTTCTGAGAGTTTGAGGCCAGCCTGGTCTACAGAGTGAGCTCCAGGAAGCCACGACTGTTATACAGAGAAGCACTGTCTGAACAAAAAGAAAATTGTCTAAGTAAGAAAAACTTAGTTCTTTTACAAAATCTAATTTCTTGACTCCAGAAGAACTCATTGCTATATTTTGAGGCTTGATGGTGCACTTATTTAGGCTATTTAGGATGCATAAATCCCTACTAATTGGAAGGGATTTCATAGGTTTAATGATCAAAGGACTTGAATACAGGTATAACATATGGTATACAAATTCAGAGTAGTGGGACTTTGAACTTAATATTTGGATATGACCAAATATCTTTCCTGAGAATGTTTCCTAATTATACTTTTTCTACCAGCTTTTGGAAGGCGACGGAAATATATATTCTCCAATTTCTTCTTCAGCATTTTGACTTTTCAACTATAGGTTATACAAAATAAAATTTACACATATGAAGTTTAGATATAAAATTTTATACTCAATTAGCAGGTTAGTAACTCATGAATTTGGCTTACTATACAAAGTACTATTCTAAGATACTGGGTTCTTTAGAACAAAATCTTTATGGTATTAGTATTATTCAGTGTTCATCCTATCATATATAAATTCCTTTTTATATTTTTAGTTTACTATAAGCTGGTAGCCTTATGTAAAGTTAGTTATAAAATAGAAACTTAGAAATTGTATTGATTTTATTTGACTTGGATGACTTATCTTTAAGATCTATATTTCTCTACATTAAACATGGAAAAAATGAGGCTATAAACTGTACCACTATATGATCTTGGGTCCAGGAAGAATGAAATTTACTACATCCAACTACCTTCCTGCCTTGAAGTTACATTAGTTCAAAACATATACTCATCACTCAAAATGCTCATCTCTGTTCCAAGACATGCCATAATAGCGACTGTTCAGAGGAAGTGAATTGAACCAAAGGATTAGTATATGCCTCCATCCTGGTTGCTAGCTCCTACCTACAATATGAGTGGCATTTACTTCTCCCTTTTAATATATGTTATTAACAGATGATGTCAGACAAGAGAAATGTTATCCTGTTTTCTCTATTTGATGAGAACCAAAGCTGGTACCTCACAGAGAACATGCAACGCTTCCTCCCCAATGCATCTGATACACAGCCCCAGGATCCTGAGTTCCAGACCTCCAACATCATGCACAGTGAGTAAAGAATCACTTGCAGCTGGGTGGTGGTGGAACATGCCTTTAATCCCATCACTCAGTAGGCATATCTCTGTGAGTTTAAGACCAGGCTGGTCTATGACCAGGCTGGTCTACAGAGTGAGTTCCAGGACAGCTAGGGCTGTTACATAGAGAAATCCTTTCTCAAACAAACAAACAAATAAAAAAGAATCATCTGTATTTAATGCACATCTGGTAAAGGGAAATAGATGGCCCCAACTGATGTCTAGATAATATGTGTTATGTATATACTATAAATAAATATGTAACTGTGACTTATATAATGCATATTTTAAAAACCCACCAACGACTTTTCCTTTCAATGTTTATTTGGCTACCCTGTCCTTTTAATTTGTATTTTATCTTCTATATTACTCCTTTTTGCCAACCATTCCATACCAAGATAACTCATTTCAGATTATTTTCTTATTATTATATAACCATATCCTACATACATAGTAGCCTTTCTAAAATGTTAGATTTATCTCCTCATTGTCTAAGATCAAAGTGTCAGAAGACTTAGTTTCTTCTTCAATCTATCTTTAGCTTTTAGATCTTGCTTGATCTGTATGTACTCTTGCATGATCTTTTCTTTGTACCTGTCTGTAGACCGAGTTTCTGTCCCACTTGGTCCTGCAGTCATTCAGTCCCAAAGAAACACGTAGAGGCTTATATTAATTATAAACTGTTTGGCCTATTAGCTCAGGCTTATTACTAACTAGCCCTTGCAATGTAAATTAACCCATAATTCTTGTCTATGTTTAGCCACCTGGCTTGGTACCTTTTTTCATTAAGTCATTCTCACCTTGCTTGCTCTGTGTCTGCCTGGTGACTGCCTTTCTGCCTTTCCTCTTCCCAGAATTCTCCCAGTCTGGTTGCTCTGCCTATACATCCTGCCTGGCTCCTGGCCAATCAGCGGTTTTTTTTAAACCAATACAAGTGACAATCTTTACAGTGTACAAGAGCATTATCCCACAGCACCTGTCTTTCTGTATTGTAATAATCTATTATAAAGAATTTAAGTTCTGGGGCTGGAGAGATGGCTCAGAGGTTAAGGACACTGACTGTTCTTCCAGGGGTCCTGAGTTCAATTCCCAGCAACCACTTGGTGGCTCACAACCACCTATAATGAAATTTGGTGTCCTCTTCTGGTCTGCAGGCATACATACAGGCAGAGCACTGTATAATAAATAAATAAATAAATAAATCTTAAAATAAAATTTAAAAAAAGGAATTTAGGATCTACACTAATAACCTTATTTTAACTAATTTTCTTCTTAAAGATCCATTTCCAAATACAGCCACATTTGGAAGTATTGGAGTTTCAAGCATCAACAAGAAAATTTGAGGAACACAATTCAGTATATAAATTATTTATATGTATTGTTTATATATAAACACAGATCTGAGTAGCCAAAACATAGTAAAAGTTTAATCTTACTATACTACTAGGAAAGGATTCTATCAGTAAGAGAGATAACATGACATGCCTATCAAACTGCAGAACTAGGAGACCATTATTGCTAGTGGGTATGGGTAAAAGGGGACTGTCATACATTACTAGTAGAAAACACTAATTGTTTTTTTGAAGACTACCTCATATATTAAAATTTTAAATATATGTTTTTGAAATCCTGATTCTCACTTGGATGGAATAAGCATATATCACCCTGTCTATTTCATATAATATAACTAAAATACCTAACCAAATCATGGAAAAGCTGCCTAAGAACAGAACCTTGAAAAGTTATGTTGTAAGTTATACTCACCTTCCAGGATGCGCCTTCTATCAGAATTCTATGCCCCTTAGCTCATAATATTGTCCTCAGCTTCAAGTCAACCTAAGCCTTATATTTAATTTTAATTTCTGGTAATAGTTGCCTATTATATTCCCAAGCCATAGTACTTTATTCTCCCTTCTTCTAAAACCTTTGGTGTTTATAATCCCTTCAATTGCATTTATATTTTTTCATATACTCAAAGACATGGGTTGTTTTGTAAAGAATCTGATTCATAATATTTAACTCAAATAACACATATTTTTTCTTCCTCTTCACTCTAAGGTGGTCATGATTTTGTTGTTGATTTTCCACACCTGACAGAATATTGCATTTTCTTGTTTCCTTAATGTAGTATAAACTAGGTATATATGATTTTATATTTCTATCCATCACTTCTCCATTTCCTACTATAGCTTATTTCAAATACTAGGGTAAGCACATGTCTGGACAGTGAAAGCATATTATTTTAATAGAGACAATATTTAAAGTAAGAGAGAGATTGTTACTTAGAATCTTAAAAAAGTGAAACAGGTGTATTAGTCAGGGTTCTCTGGAGTAGCAGAACTTATAGAATATATATATCCTTGGGAGCTGTGAAGAAATATAATTGTGTGGTTTCAGACTCTTACTCTGTATATTGTTATGACATCTTCAGCAGGCTAATGTAGTAGTAACATTCCCCCACCATCAGTTGTACATAGTTCACAAGGACCTCTATTAATCCATGTGAAAGCTACTTTTGCTAGTGATGTGAAATGTATTTTTCCAAATATTTCTCCAAATTTCAATTTTTTTAGATTCTGTGAAGCCATCTCTCTCTTGCTTTAAACATTGTCTCTATTAAAATAATATACTTTCACTGCCCAGACAGGTACTTCTTACCCTAGTGTTTGAAACAAGCTGTAGTAGGAAATGGAGAAGTGATGGATAGAAAAATAAAATCATAGATATTTAGTTTATATTACACTAAGAAAATAATAAAATGCAACGGACAGTTGTATTTTTCATAATCATTTACCAACTAGCTCATTATTTTACTTATTTTCTGAGATACTGCCCTTTTCATATGTATTTAATTTCTACTTATATTTATGTCAGTTTCTAAACTCTATATTTAATTTGATATATTTGCTTACATTAATAATGCATTTAAGGGAGATGGAAAGATGGATATTCTAGTTTTATATTGTGTCTATGATAAAATAATCTGACCAAAAGTAATTTGGAGAGGAAAGGGTTTATTTGGCTTACACTTCCAGACCATAGTCCACCACTGATGGAAGTAAAGGCAGGAACCTGGAGACCGAAATCATGGAGTGAAGCATGATTAAAAACTCAGGGAGAGAAATTGGGGTTCAACCTGAAGATTTGAAAAGCAAAACAGCCAGATACTGGCTCTTACTTTGACTCAGTCTGAAATGATGATCCTGTCTCCAGGAAGCTCAAAATGAGACTGAGAGCTGTCTCCTCTCATTTTATAATCCTCTCTAGGGCTGGGATTAAAGGTGTGTGTTACCACTGCCTGGTTTGTAATGCTGACCAGTGGGGCTGTTTTACTCTCTGATCTTCAGGCAAGCTTTATTTATTAAAAGATGATTGAAATGCCACTACAGCCTTCAGTATACATCAGAATCCCAAAAAGGTAGGCTCTAATAGCAGTGAAGAAATTGACTTGCCAAAGAGGCAAAGAAAGAGGGCTTCCCTTTTCCATTTCCTTTATATAGGCTGACAGCAGAAGGTGTGACCCAGATTAAAGGTAAATCTTCACATTTCAAAAGCTACAGATTAAAGGTTTATCTTCCCATCTCAGAAGATCTGACCTAAAAGTGGGTCTTCCCACTTCAAATAATTTAAGAAAATGTTTTCACAGGTGAACTCAGCCACTTGGGTTTTAGTGTAATCAAGTTGACAACCAAGAATAGCCATCATGCTCGCAAACCAACCTGATCCAGGCAATTCCTCAGTTGAGGATTCTCTTCTTAGATGACTATAGACTTTGTCAGATTGACAATTAAAGCTAACAAGAACAATTGCTCAACAGTTAAGTTGATGTTCTGCTTTCAGAGAACCTGAGAGTTTAGTTCCAGCATCCCGTTTGGGCAGCTCACAACTGCCTGTAATTCTAGCTCCAGGGGATCTGACATCCTCTTCAGGCAGCTGCACTCATGTACACACTGCACATACACACACCCCACACAAACATACTGAAAAATAAAAATCTTTAAAAGTGATACATTTAAATTTTATTTTGTGTGTATGTGTGTATGAGAGAAAAGAAAGAGAGAAAGAATAGAGACAGGGAGAATGAATGTGTGCTGGTATGATGATTGCACAGTACATTTGTGGAGGTCTGAGAACAATTCTCTAGAGTTGGCTCTTTACTCATAGTAATTATTTTCCACTTGAGAATAGGTTAGAGACATCATGCCCAATTGTTTTTAATAACTCACCATGTACTTCATTTGAATAAATAAGTGTGTTGTCTTAGATAAGCAATATCATGAAATTCTGAACACTTTACAGTGATACAATATATAGTGGTGTCTATATTCTAGTTGTGTCTGCCACTGCATTTTCTCCATGTGGTACAGAAATTTAGAACAAGTATTTAGTCTTTTGTTTCTTTGGATTTAAAGCATTATACAATGCTAACACTGATCATTTGTTTCGGGTTTATCTATGTAAGTTACTCTTTTTTTTCCATTGCAACTAATAATTTGTAGGAAAAATGCTTCGAGATTTTACAAATACCTTGTCCCTCATCAAACTTCCCAAAGTGTATATCCAAATCTCTCTTTATATGTCTCCTTACTTTAGGATTTGAGTTGGGTGATTAAATATTAATAGTCTACCTGATTTATAACTGTTCTCTGTGGTAAGCTGATGAGCATAATATATGATAATTTTCTAATTGTATCCTAACAATCATAATCCAAAATAATAAATTCATGATACAACTGAATCCCTTGTTGTACATTGCTTTTGTAGGCATCAATGGCTATGTTTTTGGTAGCTTGCAGTTGAAAGTTTGTCTGCATGAGGTGGCCTATTGGTACATTCTCAGTGTTGGAGCACAGACAGACTTCTTATCTATCTTCTTCTCTGGATATACCTTCAAACACAAAACGGTCTATGAAGATACACTTACCCTGTTCCCATTCTCAGGAGAAACTGTCTTTATGTCGATGGAAAACCCAGGTCAGCTATTTATATTATCATTTCAGTAACCACTGTGAGTGTTTCATTGTTTGTTTGCCTGGTACCTTGTATTTGGACAGACAGTAAATATTTCAAGTGAATTTGATATGTGGCTTTGGTAATAGGAAAGTATTTTAATGAACAAAGAGCGTAGAATTTGGTTGAGATATAAATAATGAAGATATAAATACATCATGAACATAAATATTTCTTCTACATTTTACTAGTATGTTTATAAATAATTCTGCCATTTGTACATTTGTATATAATACTTTCAAATGTATGTTTCATTTATTTTTTAAAAATATTTATTAAGGATATTCTTTTTTATTATTAAAAATTTCTGCCTTCTCCCCACCTCCCCCTCCTCCCCCTCCCCTCCCACTCCCTCTCCAGTCCAAAGAGCAGTCAGGGTTCCCTGCCTTGTGGGAAGTTCAAGGTCCTCCCCACTCCATCCAGGTCCAGGAAGGTGAACATCCAAACAGACTAGGTTCCTACAAAGCCAGTACATGCAGTAGGATCAAAACCCAGTGCCATTGTCCTTGGCTTCTCAATCAGCCCTCATTGTCCGCCACGTTCAGATAGTTGGGTTTGCGTTTTTAGTTCCAGTTGAGCTGGCCTTGGTGAGCTCCCATTAGATCAGCCCCACCGTCTCAGTGAGTGGGTGCACCCCTCGCAGTCCTGACTTCCTTGCTCATGTTCTCCCTCCTTCAGTTCCTCATTTGGGCCTTGGGAGCTCAGTCCGGTGCTCCAATGTGGGTCTCTGTCTCTATCTCCATCCATCGCCAGATGAAGGTTCTATGGTGATATGCAAGATATTCATCAGTGTGGCTATAGGAAAGGATCATTTCAGGCTCCCTCTCCCCAGCTGCCCAAGGAACTAGCTGGGGACATCTCCTTGGACACCTGGGAACCCCTCTCGAGTCAAGTCTCTTGCCAACCCTAAAATGGCTCCCTTAATTAAGATATCTTCTTCCCTACTCCCATATCCACCCTTCCTCCATCCTAACCATCCCATTCCCCCAGGGTCTACCAATCCTCCTCTCCTCACTTTTTTCTCCCCATCTCCCCATCTCATCTTACCCCCACCGCCACCTCCATCCCCAAGATCCCAATTTTTGCCTGGCAATCTAGTCTACTTCCAATATCCAGGAGAATAACTATATGTTTTTCTTTGGGTTCACCTTCTCATTTAGCTTCTCTAGGATCACAAATTATAAGCTCACTGACATTTATTTATGTCTAGAATCAACTTATGAGTGAGTACATATCAAATTCTTCTTTTGGGCCTGGGTTACCTCACTCAGAATACTGTTTTCAATTTCCATCCATTTACATGCAAAGTTCAAGATGTCATTTTTTTTTTTTTACCACTGAGTAGTACTCTAATGTGTATATATTCCACACTTTCTTTATCCATTCTTCCACTGAAGGGCATCTAGGTTGTTTACAGGTTCTGGCTATTACAAATAATGCTGCTATGAACATAGTTGAACAAATGCTTTTGTAGTATGATATAGCACCTCTTGGGTATATTCCCAAGAGTGGTATTGCTGGATCCTGGGGTAGGTTGATCCCAAATTCGCTGAGAAACCGCCACACTGATTTCCAAAGTGGTTGCACAAGTTTGCATTCCCACTAGCGAAGGATTAGTGTTCCCCTTACTCCACATCCTCTCCAGCAAAGGCTATCATTAGTGTTTTTGATTTTAGCCATTCTGACAAGTATAAAATGGTATCTCAAGGTTGTTTTGATTTGCATTTTCCTGATCACTAAGGAGGTTGAGCATGACCTTAAGTGTCTTTTGGCCATTTGAACTTCTTCTGTTGAGAATTCTCTGTTCAGTTCAGTGCCCCATTTTTAATTGGGTTAATTAGATTTTAAAGTCTAGTTTCTTGAGTTCTTTATATATTTAGGAGATTGGACCATTATCTGTTGCGGGGTTGGTGAAGATCTTCTCCCAGTCAGTAAGTTGCCTTTTTGTCTTAGTGACAGTACCCTTTGCTTTACAGAAGCTTCTCAGTCTCAGGAGGTCCCATTTATTCTATGTTGCCCTTAATGCCTGTTCTGCAGGGGTTATTCGTAGGAAGTGGTCTCCTGTGCCCATGTGTTATAGAGTACTTCCCACTTTCTCTTCTATCAGGTTCAGTGTGGTCAGATTTATATTGAGGTCTTTAACCCATTTGGACTTAAGTTTTGTGCATGGTGATAGATATGGATCTATTTTCATTCTTCTACAAGTTGACATCCAGTTATGCCAGCACCATTTGTTGAAGATGCTTTCTTTCTTCCATTGTATACTTTTAGTTCCCTGTCGAAAATCAGGTGTTCATAGGTTTCTGGGTTAAAGTCAGGGTCTTCTATTCGATTCCATAGATCGACTTCTCTGTTTTTATGCAAATACCAAGCTGTTTTCAATACTGTAGCTCTGTAATAGAGTTTGAAGTCAGGGATGGTAATGCCTCCAAAAGTTCCTTTATTGTATAAGATTGTTTTTGCTATCCTGGTTTTTTGTTTTTCCATAGAAAGTTGATTATTGTTCTCTCAAGGTCTGTGAAGAATTTTCCTGGGATTTTGATGGGTATTGCATTGAATCTATAGATTGCTTTTGGTAGAATTGCCATTTGTACTATGTTGATCCTCCCAATCCAAGAGCAAGGGAGATCCTCCATTTTCTGGAAGGATCCTCTTTAATTTCTTTCTTCAGTGCCTTAAGGTTCTTGTCAAATAGATCTTTCACTTCCTTGGTTAGAGTTACCCCAAGATAATTTATGCTATTTGTGGCTATCGTGAAAGGTGATGCTTCTCTGATTTCCCTTTCTGCATCCTTATCCTCTGTGTATAGGAGGGCAACTGATTTTTTGGAGTTGATCTTTTATCCTGCCGCATTACTAAAGGCGTTTATCAGCTGTAGGAGTTCTTTGGTAGAGTTTTTGGGGTCGCTTATGTACACTATCATATTATATGCAAATAGCAAAAGTTTAACTT